GTGGCACTGGCCCCCGCCTCTGCCTTCACCTCGCTGTGTGTCTGCTGCTTCTTGGCAAACATCACCTTGGCCTCTAGGGACAGTCAGACAAAGACACTTATTCAGAGGACCCTTCCAAGCTCCTGAGTCCTGGATTCTGGTTAATCAACTCCGGACTCCAGGACACTCCATTTCCTGCCACAAAGATCTCCCAAGGCCCCCTGCCTAGTGGTGACTCTTCTTATACCTGAGTGTGTGATTATCTAGCCAGTGTGTAATGCCAGAACAGATTGGCTGGGCAGGGCAGCAAGGAATCACCAGGCCAGCCCATACAGGCCAACACAGTGTTCTCTTATGCCCCAATCTGCCCACCTTCAGGACCACTCTCTACAGAGCAGAGACCTACAGTACCATTCATGAACACATTCCCATTTTTCTCCACCAACCAGAAACTGACCATGCCGTGATTTTTGCTTTTGGATACAGCCAAACATAAATTGGTGCATATGACTGAGAATCCTGTTGCACTGAATTTATGCATTTGTAGGTTTTTAGAGCTTGTGTGAGGAACACACATGCCTCTGGAAAGCAGCAAAGTGTTTTCAGCTGTGGAGACATACTTAGATTCCACCCAATGGTCCAGTGTGGGGAACCCCAGGCCCCTCAAGGGTGGAATGCACCTATACCAGAGATGTAAGTCTGCAGCATCTTCATGCAGGGAACCGGAGATTCCCTTGCCCCTGCCTGGTGTCCGAAACTGCCCCCAGCCAATACCATACTCCCACGCCCTACTGCAAGAAACCCTGGCAAGAGGGACCCAAGCATCTTGCTATCTTTGCCCCAGTACATTTGCACATGTGCCTCTGAGGTCCAGCTTGGCTCCCAACCACAGCATCCACACAACCACCTGCTACATCTGTGAAGAAAAGCTGTAAGGCCTACAGGGTGCATGGATGAAGATGCCCAGACCTAGACCACATGTGACCCTGACTCTCCGCCCAGACCGGAGAGGTTTCAACCACAGCGAGGAAGTCCTTCTTCCTACAGAGCTGAGCTACCCACCACCATTCAGAGAGAGAGAGAGAGAGAGAGAGAGAGAGAGAGAGAGAGAGAGAGAGAGAGAGTCAAAAAACAGCTACCCTACTGCCCAGAACCCCTTAGACAATGTCTGGAGCAGGGGACAGAGGATTCACATCCAGAACCACGCAGCAGCACAAGGACATGATGCCAGCCCCACTGCCCACCTGCGCTCACCTTGAACCAACAACTGGTAGGCAATGCGGCTCCCACGACTAACGCACTCATAGAGGCCAGCATCATCCTGCACCACATCCCGCACCAGCAGGGCTCGCCTCCCAGCTGACACCTGCATCTCGTACTTGGGTCCTAGGGGCAGCTCGCGGCCATCCTTCAGCCAAGTCACAGCCGCAGCCTGGTCCGACAGCTCAGCCAGCAGTTGGGCCTCCTCGTGCAACCGGGCCAGCACCTCCCGGGCAGCCACGGCAGGAAGCCTGTTGCTGGCTAGCCCCAGAGCGGCTACGGGGCAGGGGTGGTAGTAGGAACAGAGACCACAAGAAGGTGGGCAAAAGGAGTCTCAGACAGCGAAGGAGAGGAGAGAGGATTTGAGGATGGGGAAAGAGGGATAAAGGGGAAAAGAGAAACTCAGGAAACGGGGTGGATTGGAAGGAAAGCAGCCATGGAAAGCAAGTCGGTGAAAGGCAAGAGAAGGGAGGGTGTGAAGAGGCGTGAGAAGGGAGCAGAGGGAGAGAACACAGGGCGCCAGTGAAAAGAGGGAGACCACGGGGAAAGGGGGGTGTGGGGGAGGGAGACAGAGGTGAGAAAGAAACAGGCAGAGAGGAGACACGGGGTAGAGAGATAGATAGAAGAGAGGATGAGAAAAGAGGCCGTCCGAGATGCGGTCCAGCCCTGGGGCATCTCGTACATGTGCACGCATGCATGCACACACACACACACGGAGCCCAGCCTCAACTGCCAGCCTGGGGTGAGCAGCCTCAAGCACCCAGCTCTCCTATCCCCTTCACACACTGGCTTCAGAGAAACCTTCCCCAGGAAATACCGCTTCTGCCTACTACCACGCTGCAGAGAAAATGGAACTCGGGGACTCAGGCCTACCTCGGACCACCATCTGGATGCTGGTTTCAATGCCATTAGCCACAAACTTCAGCTGTGCCCCATGCAATCTGGCAGGCACCTCTCTGATGGTGAGCATATGCCGGGTACGGTCACAGCGGATCACGTATACGCTGCTGGCTTTCAAGGCCTCCCCATCCAGGAACCACTCGCCCTCAGAGGCCACGGTGAGGTCCACAGAGAAGGTGACCTCACCACCCTCCACTGCCTCCACTGCCTTCAGAGGGGTCTTTACAGCCAGCCCGGGGACTGCAAGGTGGGCAGAATTGAGAGAAAAGTCGGAGACAGATAAACTCCCAGGTTCTGCCTCCCCTTCCTCTGCCCTGCCCCCACAAAGATGGAGTAGCCAAAGCCTGACTCCCTGAGGCTGCTGAAGACAGGCAGGTTCAGTGAGACCTGGGTCCTGTCTTAGGATCCCTCCTCCTTCATAAGAAGGCTTCAGCATCCCCCAACCCACATAGCAAGTCCCCTGACGGTCATCCGGGCTCCCCTGGAGGCAGAACTATGCTTTGGGGTCGGGTAACTCAAGGCAGGTGGCAGCCCCCCGTGATGTTACTAGATGGTCTCACTCACCCAAGTGGATGGTCCCTGGAAACTCAAGGTAAGGGCTCTGGCCAAAGTGGTTGATGGCTGACACTCGGAACTGGAAGTCGCCCTCCTCAGCCACACCAGCCACGGTAAACTCAGTTGTGGCCAGCCATTCCGCCTCATGACACCGGCTCCAGGCATAAGCACCAAGTCTCCTTTTCTCCACCACATAACCATCAATGGTGACAGGGCGGTCCCCGTGGGGTGGTGGTGACCAGCTGAGGGTCACAGAACTCTCTGTCTTGGCCTTCACCACAGGGTCAGCAGGGGGGTACAGCGGTGGCCTTCTGGGCGCTGTGTGGAAGATAGTTTGAGCTCACCACCTGGGAGCTTCCCTCCCCCAGCCTTGGGTCACCAAGAAAGGGAATTACAGAACCCAAGTCTCTCCCTGGGCACTGCTGTGGTGGATGGGATGGTACCACCCACCACCAGTGGGCTCAGAAGTCCCTCTCCAGACCTGCTGCCACCCAGTTGCAGCAGGAAGGTCCCTCCTCAAGGGAAGAGCTTGGAGTGGAGGACTCACACCCACAATGTTCTGCCACCCTCAGACCTCCACTGGCAAGGGGGAGCCCACAGCACTGGGGGAGGACAGGGGCACAGCTGTGTCCCTGGCAGGAGGGCCACCCAGAGGCCACTCTTCCAACCCTTACCTGATACGCAGAACTGGGTGGTCGTCCGGCAGCCACCAGCCACAAAGGCCACCTCACCCATGTCCTCCAAGGTGCACTGGAAGATGGTGAGTGTGTGGCACGTGCCTTCGGCAGTGATGGCTACCCGGCCTCCTGCCACCATCTCCTCCTGGTTCCGCAGCCACTGGACAGGGCCCTCGGGGACAGCTAGCTCCACCCAGAAGATGGCTGTGTCTCCAGCGCGCACTGCCGTCTTCCGGGGTAGCTTTCTGGTCAGGTTCCCTGGAGTGGGAAGATTACCAAGGGGATAAGACAAGCCCCCTGTGTACCCCGAACTCCTTTCACACACCCCCGACTCGTGTGGCCTCCGTCTCGTCTTCTTACCCATCCAGCCCCATTCTCCCACCTGCTTCACACACACACACACACACATATGCACGCACACACACACACACACACACACACACTCACACGCACACGCGCGCACACACACACACACATATGCACGCACACACACACACCCCTTCTGCCCAGCCCTACCTTCTGGCTCCCCCTGCCTTTGCAGAACCAGGTTTCACTCTAACCCTAGCCTCCCTCCAAAGGCTGCCAGCCTCAACTCTCCCGAGCCCCAGGTCACACTACACACCTCTGTGCCCTAGAACCTCCCGGTCTACTGACACGCCTCTTGTGCACCTGCACCCTCCTGCCTGTCTGCGCCCCCAACTGGACCTCAGCCTATCTCCCCAATGCCGGAGCAAGCAGCCTCTGGTCAACCTGACCCATCACACTCTGCTCGACCCCACCTCCACCCCACATCCAGGGCCCCCTCTGTCCCTCCCCCTGCCTTTCCCTCTACCTGGCCCCTCTGCCCCGTCCCTCTCACCTCAGTCCTATTCACCCGCCTTCCTTCCCACACAGATCGACTCCACGCTTGGATGCTAGGTGGGCCACCTCTGCTCCCAAGCTCGTTTGCCCGCCTGGCCCCGCCCGGCCCCGCCTACCCCCGCCCCGCCCCGCCTGCCTTGGACGGAGAGCTCTGCCACCGTGCGGCTGCCCTCTGTGGTCTCGCAGATGTACACCGCGTCGTCGTCCGCCGAGACGTCGCGCACGGTCAGCCGGCGCTCGGTGCCCTCCTCCTCGATGCGGTACTTGGCGCTGGCCCACAGACGCGTCTCCTCCTTGAACCACGCCGCCTCCGTGGCCGGCTGCGCCACCTCACACTGGAACGTGGCGGACTCTTTCTCTTTCACCTCCAGGTCCTGCAGCCGCTTCTTGAAGGGCACCGCCGGCTCTGCGGGAGAGGGGCCGACGGGGTTTGGGGGTGTGACACAGCGGACCAAGAAACCAAAAGTGGAGAGGGTGCAGGGTCGGATAGGTGAGTTGAAGAAACAGAGTGGAGAGTAAGAGAAGGGGAAAGTGGAGCACGGAAGAGCGAACAGCGGGGGATATGTGAGCTGGGAGGCAGGAGTGTGGAGGGATGGTGACTGGGACTAGAGTTCCCTACGGTGGTTCGCGCCAGGAGCCATCATCGCCTGTTCATTTTGAGGAACCAGAGCCGCCCAGGCATCCAACTTAGGATGCAGCCACCCAACCCTAGCCGATCTTTGGACCAGGTTATCACCCAGGACCGCAGCTGGCGCTCAGGTGAATGCACGAGGTTGTGGGGAGTCGGGAAAGAGCCTCACCCCTGCGCATGTTTGGGGGTGCTAGTTTGCTCACCTCGCACGACCACCAGCACGGAGCTGTAGGTCTGGCCTACGAGGTTGGAGGCTGTGCAAGTGTAGAGGCCACGGTCCGATTGCTTGCAGAAAAGGATCTTCAGGACGAAGTTCTCTTGCTCATCCTCATACACCACGTGGCGCCGGCCCTCGGTCACCAGCTGCCCGTCCTTCTTCCACACTGTCTCGGGCTTGGGCTCGCCGGTCACAAAGCAGCTGAGGCGCGCGTGTTTGCCTTCGGTCACCGTGCAGGTGCGTGTGCCGGCGCCGGGTGGGGAGGGGGGGACGCCCTCTGCGCGCATGGCCTCGCGCCGCTGCTGCAGATGCGCCAGGAGCGAGGCGGTGGAGGCTCCGGGCGGTCCGGCAGCCTCGGCATCCGAGTCCACCACGAGCGCGGCGGCGGCGCTGGCGGAACCCAGCGGGTTCTCGGCTCGGACTTCGTAGGTGCCACCGTCGCGAGGCCGTGCCGACCGGATGCGAAGCGCGCTGGCCTCGCCGTGATCTTCCACGCGCACATGGGGGGCGTCGGGGGCGCCCAGGCGCCGCCCATCTTTGGACCAGCTCACAGCGGGTTGTGGTGAGCCGCCCACGCGACATCGGAAGGTAGCGTCTGCGCCCTCGCGCACGCGGATGGAGGTGGGGCGCAGCAGGAAGTGGGGCGCCTGCTCGGCGCACGTGCCCTCCGAGTCCACTCGCAGGCCTACGGCGGCGAAGGCCTCCCCGATGGCGTTCCTCGCGCGACACACGTACTGCCCACTGTCACCGAGCGCCAGATCCAGGATGGTGAGGCGGTACACATCCCCGTCCTGGGCCAGGCGGAAGCGTGCTCCTGCCTCCACTGGCTGCCGGTCCTTCTCCCAGCTCACATGTGGCGTGGGGTTACCCACGATCTGGCAGCTCAGTGTGGCATCCTTGCCCACAGATACCACAAAAGCCTTTGGCCGCGTCAGGAAGCGGGGCGCCCCGCTGAAGGAGTGGTCCATGGTGGCAGCAGGGTTGGGGGGTCTACAAAACGCAAAGATGAAGGTCATGGTGCTATTGAGATGAGCCAGTCGCCTGTGCCACATTCGGCCCTCTTCCTTATCTAACAGTGTTAACAGGAAACCCCAATTCAACCAAACGGGCACCTCCACGTGGGCTGCCTCCTCCGCAAGTCTCATTTTCCCCTCCACTCCCGAGCCACTGTGGTGGCTCCGAGGTCCAGCAGTTCACACTAGCCCTTTTCCGTGACTTGGAAGTCTAGCATCTTTAATTGCCTGATGTACTTCCGCTCTACCCCAACTCCAGTCTCTCTACCCAAACCAGCAAGTCCTCTGGACTCCCATGGGGACACGTTCTTCAGCAGAAAAGGAAAGGAACCCTGACCCTCACCTGAAGAGGTGGAGCTCATCCTAACCGAAGTGCCCTTACCTGCTGGGCTGAAGGTAAACCCATGCTCACGAGAACCTGTCTGCCCTCATACTGCCAGTCTTCAGGGAAAGCCTGGCCCCAAGTAAGGGCAGGGTGTGGGAACAGTGCAGTCAGTGGCTGCAGAGGATGGCAGGAGGGTCCCTATAGTCTGTGGCCAAGACAGCCAGCTTCTCTCTAGAAGAGCTGGGGCCCAGCTGGGCCTAGCTAGCCTGGGGCCCAATGGCCTTGGCACAACTCGGTCCTTAGCAGGGTCCTGCCAACTTGGACCCCCTGCAAGAATGAGATTGCATGCCTCAGTCGTCCTAGGAATCATCGGCACCCAGATAACACTGGCCTCTGCCCAATCAAGGCTTAGCCCCAGCCAACCAGCCACTGATCCAGTCAGTGGATGGGACTACCTGCCTGCACCAGGTCTTATATAAGAACAGTGGGCACCATGGCTGGCTCAGCAGGCTAACCTCCTCCACCCCCAGGACACATGAGCACCCCAGTGCAGAGACCTTCACCACAGCCTCTGCACCTGCTCTGCTTTACCGGTCTCTCAGCCTGGGCTGCCTGATAGGGGACCGGCCAGTTGATGGGTTTATATTCCCCGACCCTCCAGCTCCCAGTCCTGTGATTCAGGTAGCTAATCCCCCTAATCCTCTTCCAGGAGGCTGATTCTGGACCAGGGCTGGGCTGCACTGGCCGGTTTGCTGACTCACTGCCCAGTCAGCATCTCTGTCCCCCACCCACAAACAGGCCTCGTCTCTTAAGGCTAGCACAGGGCCATCAGGCAGCACCAGCCGGGGTCCAAGTCCAGCCCCTGGAGATGCCTTTCAGCATCTGTCCCATAGAAGGTCTGCCTTGACATCAATACCAGGGTCCTTGCGTCAGAGCTCTTTCTACCCTCCAGGTTCCCCAGACACATGGCAGGGCACTCTATGACTCTTCCCACCATCCTATGCGTAGCCTGGGGTGGCCCAGCGTGAAACACGTGAACAAGACCATGCAAACAGCCTCCCACACACATGTTTAAGGGGAGCTGGACCCAGCCTCAGCAGGTCCACAGGCCCTGGAGATTCAAGAGTGACTGAAGACTAGAGTTCTCCTAAGCCCCCATGATGGTGCCCCTGGGTCTCACTGTCTGCTCAAGGCCTGCATTCTTTCCACAACTGTTACCAGTCAGTCGCACTGGCCACTATCACTGGGTCACAATGACAGCCTCAGAGCCACTCGGCCACCCTGACAAGCAGGTCTTAGGCCAGAGAAGGGCTTCCAGAACTGGGCATCTGTTCTCTTCCCTACCGATGAGGAAACCGAGACTGTGACAGAAGCTTCAGGGACTCTATCCCAGACAGGCCCCTCCTCTCGCCTGCTTTGGGCTGGAGGCACTGGACGTACGTCCTAAGCAGGAGGGTCCAGGTGGTCATCCCCAGCCTCTCAGAGAAGCCTCTTCCTCCTTGGAAGTCAGCTCTTCCTCAACCCGTAGAGGACTTCTCCAACCCAGCAGGTGCTTTGGACCCCCCTACTGCCGAGGGAGGGTTTGCAGGGGCCCCTGGCCCTGCCTCATAGAACTGGCCACACCACTCACACCCTCCACAACTTAACAGAACTTGGCTACTCTGTTTCCTGCAGGGCGGACTAGGATGAACCAAGTGGGAGGTGACACACAGACACTGGCCAGAAGCAGAGGCTACCCCCTCCCTGGAACTCCACCTTGCTGCCCCCCCCTTCTCCTCTCCACCACTCCAGGAGCAGAACCAGCAGGCCTGTGGCCCCCATGCCCTTCTAGAGCAGATTTCCAAGGGCAGCCCCTGAGCTCAGCCTCACCTTAGACCCCAGGGCTGTGGCTTCCCCCGCTCCCCGGGAAATTCTTTCCTGGAGTCAAGTGTCAGTACCCCTCTGGCTGTCCCCTCCACTGAGCCAACAGGCCCAAAATAGCCCCAGCTGTCAGCGGGCATCCATCTCAGAAGAGCTGGGGGCAGGGCCACCAGACCCCCAGGCAGCAGGAAGACTAGGGGGCAACCCGGCCAGGGGTGGCACAGTGCTAGCCCCAGCCCTCCCGGATCCCTAAGGGCAAACTGCCCCTTCCCATTCTGAGGTCTCAACCAAGAGTCACAGAAGGGCCCAGGTCTGGCATCCAGCCCACTCTCTTCTCAGGGAGGGGCCCAGGCTGACCAGACCCCTAAGGTCCCCAAGTTCCACAGAACACCATGACCTTCAGCCCATCTGACCTCCAGGAGCAAAAGTCGGTCCTCCAGTCAGCTCTGCCTCCTCACCTGTGTCTACCAGGGGTTGGGGCAGCGCCCAGGCAAGGGGCACAGATGGTGAGTTGGGGGCTGCTGGGTCTTGCCTCCTTCCTGGGGCCCAGGCCGACGTGGTTCCCACCCAGCAGCCCACACTCCAGCCGGTTCTCAGACTGGACAGGGACGAAAGGACAGGCAAAGGCTATCAGCTGAAGAAGGCTGGGCCCGCCCCTGCCCCACCCCCGTTTCTGGTCAGCCCAGCCCAGCCTAGCTCCAAAATAGCCCTGGTGTCACTGTCCAGGATTCAGTTTCACCCTCAGCCCCAAGGAGGCAAAGGGCAGGTGGTCAGGAGCAGGAAGACGCCTGTGTCCTCTCGCTGTGATGTGGGCAGCAGGGAGAAGGGCAGCTGGTCCAGCTCTCCTCAGACCGGCATCGTGGAGTGTGGTGGGGGACAGAGCGGAGGGTCCCAGGACGGTGTCGGAAGGTTCCAGTAAGCAGTCCTGAAGGCAGAAGTTGGCACTGACCATGAAGGGGACCCAGGACCACCACACAGAACCAGGTCTACATCTAAGGAACCACAAGACCACACAGGGGTCAAGGATCAGTCCAAGGGGACACAAACCAACCCAAAGACCCAGGCGTACTTTAAAGGAACCCATGGACACCCAAGAAAAGCCAAGGACCCGCGTCTGCCCTAAGAAGGATCAAGTTTACCCCAAGGGGACTAGAAGAACCTGCTCTGCTCCCCACCTGGCCCTCCTGGGACCCAGCAGTATAAGGGGACAGCCATTAGCCAGGCACTGATCCCTGACTCATACCTACTCTACCATGTCCACATCTGTGACCCAGGCAACCTTGGTCTCTGTGCCATGCTCAGGCTGGCTTGGGTCTGTAGTGACCTTAAATGAGAGTGGAACCCTAATAAGGACCAACCTAGCCAGGGCCAAGGGGTCTGAGGCTGGGGTTGAGCTGGGCACTGGCAGTGCCTTTATGCCCCAGGCTGGGCTGTTCATTCCCCCAGCGTGGACTTGGGCGGCACCTACTGCTTCATGTCCGAGGAGGACTGCCCATTCCCTCAAACCCAGAGAAGATCCCGTCTAGGGAGAAGATGAGCTGGCAGCAGGGGAGCCTGGGGCTGGGGGTATCTTCTGGGCTCCTTGGTCTTTCCTGACCCTTGAGGAGCCGGTATTGAGGAAGGCATACAGCTCTCCCTGTGGGCCCCATTTAAGGACATGGGGAACGAAAGCTTGTCTCTTGTGTGTCACACACGCTCTAGCATTTCTTAAAATGTTAGGAATATATCCACCGTTAGTCCAGCAATGCCTCTCCTGGGGATATAGTCAGACCAAAAGAAACGAGTCTGAAAGGCCGCTGCACACCTCTGGGGGCGGCAGCATGACCGCAGCAGCCAAGGAACGGAAACAACCAAGCGTTCATCAACTGACCGGGGATAAAAAAGTGTGTCCGTTGTCATTTGTTACCCTCGGGGAGTTAGCTCCAGGACCCCTTCCCCACCCACTGATGCCAAAATCCACAGATGTTCAAGTCCTTGATTCAAAATGGCTTAGGGATTGCAAAGAACTTCCATATACCCTCCTTCCCTTCCTGGTTCCCTTCCTCACTCCCTGCTCCTCCCTTCCTTCTTCTTTCCTTGGCTTTTTGATACAGGGTCTTACAACATAGCCCAGGCTAGCCTCACACTCCCAGTCAGTCCACCTGCTTCAGCCTCCTAGTGCTGGAATTACAGCTTTGTGCCGCTACATCCAGCTTCTCTCATGTAACTTAATTCATCTCTGGCTGACTGGTAATGCCTCATACAGTGTAAGAGCTGTGTAAACAACTGTCTGTTTTGCTTAGAAATGAATGACAAGAATAGTTCATACATATTTAAGACAGGTAATTCTCTCTCTCTCTCTTTTTCTTTTCTTTGGTTTTTGAGACAGTCTCATTATGTAGCCCTCGCTGTCCTGGAACTCATTATGTAGACCAGGCTGGCCTCGAATTCACAGAGATCCCCCTGCCTCTGCCTCCTGTGTGCTGGGATTAAAGGTGTGCACCACCACAGCCAGCTTTTTTGGATATTTGCAGTCTGAGTGTGTCTGAATCAGAGGATAAGGAATCCAAATATTAAATGGGGGTTCAATGCACTTACGGAGTGGCATGCCATTCTACCTAATACAAAATTCCTGTTATTATTGAGTGCATGGATGGAGGAGGATAGAGAATGGCAGGTACCGAATCTCTCATTCAAACGCAGAATAATAAAAAAGAAAACAATTCCAAAGAGGCAAAGTTAAGTGCTAGGGGCTGGCAAAGGGGCAACGGGGAGAGATGGTGAGGGGGGATGGGCTTGGATTTTGCATGTGTGTTATTCAGACCCAGCATTGGTGTGCATGTCCTTGCTGGGGCGGAGAAGTGGCCAGGCTCCCGACTAGACAGACAGAAGCACAAATGCACTCTTACAGCCCCTTTCCCATGCCTGTTGTCTGAGGCATTCAAGCAGGTGCTTCAGTTCCCTGGCCGCCGTGTCCTCTTCAATTCCGTCAGTGAGCCACTCTCCTTAAAACCATCCAGCTGTGAAAGTCCCTGGAAGTGCATTCCTGTGGGACTTGGTATCTACTTGTGGGTTTGGAGCCAGAAAAATCTGCTTCTCTATTACATTCCACGAGGACTGGAGAGACTCAGGGAACAGTTGTTTTGTCAAAGGATGCAAGCAAGGAATGGGACAGATCCTGGGCTGAGCACTGAGTCCCCTGGACTTTGACGTGTAGAAGATACACAGGTCTACAGGGGCCATTGCAGCATCAGGAAGCTTTGGTGCAAGCATCACCATAGACTCAGACCCAGGTGGGAGACAGAAAACCCAGCCTGAGTGGTACTTCATGGATGAACCAGTGAGGTAAGGGTGAAGACCACCAGTAGCCCAGGACCACCCTGGAGTTAAGAGGAGCTGGGCCTGGTTCCATGTACTTGAAATCCCAGCACTCAGGAAGCTGAGGCAGGAGGACCATGAGTGAGTTTAAGGCCAATCCAGGCTTCAAAATGAAACCCTGAATGGTATCATCCAAGCAAAGAAGATCTGACTTTCCCAGGGAGGTCCTGGAGGCAGCCAGGAAGCTAAATATTTCTGTCCTTCCATGCATGCCCTAGGAGGGCATGAGGCATGTATGCCTCCACATAAGCTAGTGTCTCCATAACCTCCCCACAAACATGTGAACTAACACCTGTGCAGACATTTACACTCACACCACCCACACACGCGCACACACACACACAACCATAAGAGCACACACGAGTATCAGCCGTGGCTTTTCAGGGTCTTGCTCCTGGGCCTGTTTCTTTCTTTCCTCATTGAGATCAGGTGCTTTCTCCTTTGAAACTCAGATGCTAAAGCCCCTCCCCTGTGGTACTCATGTTAGGGGTGGGGCTTTTGGGAGGTGACGAGGCCATGAGAAGGGAAACTTGTGAGTAGAATGAATGTGCCTGTACAGGGATCCCCAAGAGTGCTCTTGCCTTCTATGTCAGGTAAGGATTGAGGATGCTAGTCGGCAGAGGGCCCTCACCACAGGCTGAGAGTGCAGGCCAGGACACAGAACCCTGGCCTTGGTTCCACAATAGGAGTCAGACTGGAGGTATGAAGTAGTTCCCAGCCTACATCTGGCTGACTCTTCTCCTGGGTCCCACGCACTGGCAAGTGGGGGACAGCTAGGGCATTTGTGCTTCTGTCTGTCTAGTCGGGAGCCTGGCCACTTCTCTGCCCCAGCAAGGACATGCACACCAATGCTGGGTCTGAATAACACACATGCAAAATCCAAGCCCATCCCCCCTCACCAACTCTCCCCGTTGCCCCTTTGCCAGCCCCTAGCACTTAACTTTGCCTCTTTGGAATTGTTTTCTTTTTTATTATTCTGCGTTTGAATGAGAGATTCGGTACCTGCCATTCTCTATCCTCCTCCATCCATGCACTCAATAATAACAGGAATTTTGTATTAGGTAGAATGGCATGCCACTCCGTAAGTGCATTGAACCCCCATTTAATATTTGGATTCCTTATCCTCAGATTCAGACACACTCAGACTGCAAATATCCAAAAAAGCTGGCTGTGGTGGTGCACACCTTTAATCCCAGCACACAGGAGGCAGAGGCAGGGGGATCTCTGTGAATTCGAGGCCAGCCTGGTCTACATAATGAGTTCCAGGACAGCGAGGGCTACATAATGAGACTGTCTCAAAAACCAAAGAAAAGAAAAAGAAAAAGAGAGAGAGAGAATTACCTGTCTTAAATATGTATGAACTATTCTTGTCATTCATTTCTAAGCAAAACAGACAGTTGTTTACACAGCTCTTACACTGTATGAGGCATTACCAGTCAGCCAGAGATGAATTAAGTTACATGAGAGAAGCTGGATGTAGCGGCACAAAGCTGTAATTCCAGCACTAGGAGGCTGAAGCAGGTGGACTGACTGGGAGTGTGAGGCTAGCCTGGGCTATGTTGTAAGACCCTGTATCAAAAAGCCAAGGAAAGAAGAAGGAAGGGAGGAGCAGGGAGTGAGGAAGGGAACCAGGAAGGGAAGGAGGGTATATGGAAGTTCTTTGCAATCCCTAAGCCATTTTGAATCAAGGACTTGAACATCTGTGGATCTTGGCATCAGTGGGTGGGGAAGGGGTCCTGGAGCTAACTCCCCGAGGGTAACAAATGACAACGGACACACTTTTTTTTATTTTTATTCCCGGTCAGTCGATGAACGCTTGGTTGTTTCCGTTCCTTGGCTGCTGCGGTCATGCTGCCGCCCCCAGAGGTGTGCAGCGGCCTCTCAGACTCGTTTCTTTTTGTCTGACTATATCCCCAGGAGAGGCATTGCTGGACTAATGGTGGATATATTCCTAACTTTTTAAGAAAATGAAGAGATACAGACCAAAATGTGCAAAAGATAAAAGGATGAGTAAATTCTGTGACTATTACACAGCCCAGTGTCCGCCTTAGTAAAACTGTCCTGTACGTCTACTTCAATTCCCAGAGAATCCACCTAAAGTGCCCCCATGTGTTGAGCAGAAAACATGATGGGTGTGCTCCCATGTGAGCTTTATGAGTTACACCTCAATAAAGACACTGGGGTAAGAAAATAAATTTAGGCAGAAACCAAAGAATCTGGTCCCCAGGGTTGCTGGAGCACTTTATTACATGTAAGTCTTATGTAACACGTTGAGTGCCGGGTGTCTGTGAAGGAGTTGTGTACTCTGGAGAAGCTCGTGTTTAGTCCCATTCCCTGGAGACTTTATTTGGGAAGCATTCCAGGGCTTGGTTGCCTCATGGATGTCACACACCTGGCAAACACATGTTCCCAACATAGGATATGCCCTGTGGGAGCTTTAGTGACTCCATCTTGGTCTGATGGGTCAAACGTGCATACTTGTTTTGCGGCAGCCTTGCTGAAATAGGACAAACAGGGTATTTTGCCAAGAAAAGCAGCACACGTCACCTCCTTGATGATGGTATCAGACCATTCAAGACTATATGGTGAGATCCTGTCTAAAAAGGGAATGAGGGAGGGACAGAGGGATGGAGGAAGGAGGGAGGGAGGGACGGAGGGAGGGAGGAGAAGAAGAGGAGGAAGAGAAGGAGGAGGAGAAGAAGAAAGCAGAGGAGGAGAGGAGAGAAGGAGGAAGAGGAAGAAGAAGGAGGAAGAGGAGGAGGAAGGCAGATCTCTGTGAGTTCAGGGACAGCCTGGTCTACAAATCGAGTTCCAGGACAGCTAGAGCTACACAGAAATTCTGTCTTGTGAAAAAAAAAAAGCTGGGCGTGATGTTGCACACCTTTAATCAGGAAGATCTCTGAGCTTGAGGACAGTCTGGTCTACAGAGCAAGTTCCAGAACAGCCAGGGCTACACAGAGAGACCCTGCCTCAAAACAGAAAAGAAAGAAAGAAAAAAAGAAAGAAGGAAGGAAGGAAGGAAGGAAGGAAGGAAGGAAGGAAGGAAGGAAGAAGAAAGGAAGGAAGGAAGGAAGGAAGGAA